TATGAAATGGTAGCAAAAGAAGAGGAAAAAAAAATTAAAAAAGAGGAAGAACTCTGTGCAGAAGAAGATCGGGAATAGGCTACTACACAAGACAAGATGAAGTTGCTTGTGGTGCTACTCTTCATTCCAAGTAAGAAAATATTAACACCAGGAGTAAAAGTGCGTCCAAAATGAGCTCCTTTGAAATGGCAGCCTTACGACGCTCGAGTGAGGATCCCCTCATAGATACCTCCAGAAATGGCAGTTTATTTCTTAATCCAATAAAGATCACCCCGCTGCTACATGCTCGCCCTCCTTTTTGCTAAAACGTTTAACACAGGTGATCTGTTAAGGAATAACGCGGAAAGCTTTGTAAATGCGGAGTCCACCCCTGGAGGCTTAATATGGGGAAAAGCATCAGACGGATGTCTACTCATACAAGGAGCTTCAGAATACAAAAGGATAAAGACTAAAGATGAGACACCAGATAACCGTGTAGGCAAATGTCAAACGAGACATGATCGTACTGCTACTACTCACAGGACATCTTCTAAACGTAGAAAACAATCCGAAGGGGTAAGTCAAGCAAACTATGCCAAAGTAAAAGCAGAACTGTCGAAAAAAACAATCGAGGTGAAGATTAACAAAACATGTAGAGAAGAAATGGGATTCCTTTTCATCCCGCACTCTTATCTCTACGTTACAACGAAGGACTCCAAAGCGGCAGCCTTTAAGATGCTATCCTATATCGAGGATAACGTCTTACCGCTTACCTGGAAGGTGTACCTGCCCGGAGAACCCCTGACAGCAAGTAAGGAGGCTCCGCGAAAAAACCTCTTGAATGAGTGCACCATTTTTGTTTATATATTCATCAATATGTATGTGCACATGTGTGTATGCTCCCCCTGACCTCTCTGCTTTGCAGCAAAGCGGGACGCAAGTGAGACGAAATGGTATAGGCGAGCCTTAGCAGAAAGCAATGATGGCTCGTGTGACGATGGCCCTGACTTCTTTTCTGGGGGAATTGACTCAGAAGAGGATGATCAGTCGGAGGAAGTGTCAGAGGAATCATCACAGGAATCATCGGAGGAATCACCGGAGGAACAGCAGCTGAGGAACTCCATCGACCGCGTGCTGAACGCGATTTACAAAGTGGCTGAGGACGGAAGGAAGGTGCTAATCACAGAGGAAGAATTGAACAGCTCCCTTAAAGAGGAGCTAATAAAATACTGCCAACTTTTAAAGGAGGTAGACACAAGTGGAACTTTGGAGGATCATGAGATGGGTAGTGAGATGGTTGTCTTCGATAACCTGGTAAAGATGCTGCAGAAGCATGGGAACGAAACATTCTTTACTTTGCGAAGGAAACTGCGGAACCCAGCGCTGTGCATGCAGAATGTGGACGAGTGGGTGCTGAAGAGGAGGGGGCTGGCCTTGCCCGACTCGTCGTGCAAAGACCCAAGTGAGGATGACACCAACTTGGGTGTAGAGTGCAAATGGATGCAATTTGTAAAGAGTAACTCCAGAGGTGAAAACACCTACTGGTACAACGGAGAGGAAGACGGAATAATTAATTTGGCGAAATTGGAAATGAGATGTAAGCAGGTCTGCGGCTTTAACGGTGGGGAACACTCTGATGGGGAGCAGTTTGATAAGGAACACTTTGATGAGGAACACTCTGATGAGGTACAGTTTGATTGGGAACACTCTGCTGGGGGTTACCTTGAAAAGTTGAATGGTAAAGGCCTTTGCTCTCCTAAAGCTGAGGAAGAGGTGGAATGAAGAGACACTTGTGGCCTTTGGTAAATTTTCACAACGTAAGATTCGCTTATAAAAGAGTTAGAAGCGTAAGGGGAGAGATCCATTCGCGAGATCCACATTTGTTCACAGCTAGCTCCTGCTAGAGATGACCATATAAAGAGGAACCTTTACATAGGTTCGAACCGACTATGAATTCCTCCATGTCGTGGAAGAGGAAACATAGACTTGTCTCTCCAGTAGAATCTCACGATCAGTTGCACACACAGTGGAGTTTAAAATGAGATAGCTTAGATGAACCACAGCTTGGTCAGATTGTCCTAATTCTTTCAAATCGTCCCAGGATAAGCGACGCACTTAGGCAGAAGGAGGGGAAAATTATCCACCTGGTGAAGTGCCAAGTGATGAATGACGAATTTAGGGAGAAGATGGCTTCCTTGATAGCCCAGTAGGAGAAAGAATGGAAAATCAACGTGGGAAGTATAAAAGAGAGGGAACATCAGAAGGAGATAACATATAACTCTCCACAAGACAACTGCGGAGAAGAACTCAACTTGGGGGTTAATATGCACAGGGCAGAGAGGCGTGGCAATGTTACGTTGCCCCGATTATGGTAAACCTACTAATGTACCAATGGGTGAAGATCCGACATCATTTAACTAACGCTGAGGAAGGAAATCCCTTTTTTTGGGGGGGGAGACATAGTCTTTACGATTAACTGTTTGATTCAAATGGAGGGAAATACTCCAAGAAATGGTAGGAAAATGCCAACTGGAGGATCGGATCATTCGTGGAGGAGCGGCGTCAGAAGGTGGATTAGCAGTCAAGAGAGAGTCAATCCGGGGAACCAACGCAAAGAACAAAATTGAATCAATTTAAATCGATGGACACGTTTCCCCATTTAAACGAGTCCAGAAAAAGGAAGAGTAAAGGGAATACAGGGTTAAAATGGAGCAAAGTAAAATTTGATTATCGTGCGAGGGGTCTCATACCTAGAGTTTCCTAACCTAGGATGTCTCAATCGAAGGAGTCCTTTTCTCCGTCAGGTGAAAGCCTTTGTGAATACATACCTATTTGTGTCTATCTTTTTTGTTTTTTTTTTCTTTTTTTTTTTGTGAAATATTTACAGATGAGATCTGATAACCTCTTGCATTTTTTCACACAAATGGGGCTTTATTTTTTCGAAAGCATTTTAACAACTAACCCTGAGGAGAGTGCTTTCCCTCCGCGTGAACCTCCTTTCCGCTTTTACCTAAAGGGGGTAACTGCCTGCCGGTATGCATGCGCAATGGCTTCTGCTCTTCACTGCCTGGTTTTTGCATTT